TAATTTGTTTAGCTAGAAGCATTTGCCGAAAAAACCGGTGCCGGTAGCAACAAAAACTGCGGGGGAACCATGCAAAAAACGCATCTTCGCACGGGCAACCCGTGGGTTGGCCAATTATTTTTGAAGTCAAAATCCCCTCCATCCTCCCTGAGCCGTGGAATAACTTGAAATTAGCCCCGTCGGTATGCGTCAGCATAGCAAGCGCACGCTGGTAAGGCTGTCGATGGCTCTCTCTTCCAAAGATTGCTTGCAAGTAAACTGATGCCCCCTTTTATGCGGGACAGATGAAGAGGTAATTTCCCCCTGCAAACGCTATGTACTAATTATTACTTGTTCCTTGTGTGCGATTCACCAGCGTCTTCCCGATGTGCTGCACGTTGAACATGGACGGGGCCTTGATGTCGTACCACTCTTTGCGCGTGAACGGATCCACCACCTTCTTCTTGGCACCCTTCTTGCCCATCTTCTTGTTCTTGCCAACAGCCATCGCGAATCGATCAACTACTTCTTGCTAAAAAAGAATTATTAGGCTTGAGAAATACGCAAAAAGTTCTCTGCCGAAGAGCGACAGCGAGGTCTAGGCGGCACGTTAAGTCAATCACCGGACGTGAGAAAAAATCCATAGCCCCGGCAAAAGACTTTTTATATTAGTAAAAGGCAGTAAGGGCCTCAAAGGCTCTGTTTGGGAAAGGAAGAGGGTAGTAACCAGAGCCAGGAACAACGGCCCATTCAGCCCTAATCCGAGAGTGCTTCTTTTAACCTCAGTGTTGGTAGACCAGTGAGTGACATGTGTGTGTATATGAGGTCAAAACACAGTTCCTAGAAGACGGGTATAAAAAGAACAATCCGTTGTGCAGATCATAGTTGCCTCAGGATCTGCCTAACTTCTTCTCTTCCTGATCTCTCCTCCGCAATGGAAATCTCAGGCGAGTCGCCCCTGCCTCCCAATCAGCCCCCTAAACTGCCGTCCAAAACAGAAGCCCTCCTCTTCCTCCTCCCCCGATCGGAGAACAT